TTTTGCAATCCCATCCTTTGATTCTGTGAATAACTTCAAATAAATCCCCTTTCTAGACTAGAACAACTTTGTTTTTGTAGCGTATATACCTCAAGGACTCCAGGTGATACATAATTATGTACCCCTCAGCAGTTTAGATAACTCGTTCACATTTGTTCCTAGTTTTTCAACAATGTAATGCTGTGATGTGTAGATAAGGCATCTATTTTATTATACAAATGATAAAACTGAGTCACATGATAAATGTTTTATTCAGGGTTGCAAAACTTAAAGAGGCAAATCCATCAGTCTAATGATGGTCCTCATTTTAAGAAACTAATTCCACTATGCCATCTTTCCTATATTTTTTTGGAAAGTGTGACCACCACCCATATGAGCTTAATTAAAACTATGAAAATGCTTATGAGAACCCACCTAAACACAGCCTGCCTTTTGGTCTCCTCTACCATTCATCCAAAAAGAAGAGTTCCTCTCTGCACCAAGTCATCAACACAATGTATTCTCTGCCAGTAGTAATTTGATTTTGTCAATTATTCTTCATTTGGGGTACATATTCATATACTGGAAGGCGAATCAGGTGTCCAGCACTAATTCCCCCCTGAAAATTAATTGTTAGTCCTCCTGGTAAGGTTTCAAGTTGAAAGTGCTTAATTTTTGGCCACTTGATAGACAAGACAGCACTTTCTACTTGTGATCACACATTCAGAATTTTACGAATTTTGGCCTTTCCAAAGGCACTCAACCAAGGCAGCTTTCTTCAGTTATTAGCCCCTTTCTTCCTGTACTCTACTATTTGTAAATTTTTATTTCTTTCTGTTCATTTTGACTTGTTAAGAATAAACTTCATTTTAGAAGAATTTTAGTTTTACAGAAAAGTTGCAATGATAATACAGAAAGTTCCCATATATTTCACACCCAGCTTCCCCTATTATTAACATCTTATAGCAGTATGGTACATTCTTCATAATTAATGAATCAATATTGATGATAAAGAATGATTATAAAGATGATGACTATTATTTATCCATTTATTGAGAAAGAGTGGTAAGGTTCTAGGACACATGGGTTGAGAGATATCATTGTGACCATCTTTGGAAAATACAACCTGTCAATGTGAGGTAAAAGCAGAAATCAATCTTCTGGTTTTCCCTACTGCCCCTTTAAAACTTCTCTGTGAATTCTTTCCCAGATCTTGAATTAAATTTCATTCCAATACCATATCTTTTTAGTGCCCCTCTCTCTGCAGTTGAATTATACATTCCTATCCTAAGGAACTCAGGTGTAACCTTAGGTGTATGACTTAAACAAAAGTGATATGTCATTTCAGTAGAGAGCCTTTAACAGCCACCATAGGGCTCACTATGTTTTCCTTTCCCTTCATCATGGTAACCAGTAATGTTAAAGAGAATGGCCACTCCCTCAGTCTGGACCAGAGTGAACCACAGCCACAGTCAGGCTGCACTAGATGTGCTCTAGCACACTGCTTAGGATGTAAGGGGTATGTGGCTTGTGTTACATAGTTCTGCACTCTTGGGCCTCTCCAAAACACCAGGAGTTTCAATGGGCTTTGTTGATGCTCCAAAACAGACCTATTTTAACATCCCATTTCTACTGTTCTCTTGAGTATTCTTTCTCAGGGTTTATGTGTATGGAGATACTTTACAAAATTTTGATCTATGGGGTTGTTTTGAAAATCAATTTTAATGTATGAACAGGGAAGTATCTGTATAAATTTAGGACCACAATAACATGGCATTTCATAAATCACTGAATTTCTGTGTTCCTTGTTTTCCTGGCAAGTGGAAATGCCCTATTTTAAAGAGGTGTTAAGAAAATATAAGCTATGTATAGACTATCAATCAACACATTTTAGGGCACTATATTTGGCTGCTTTGATACAGGTAACTATTTTAAAAGATCTTTTTCTTAGCTTCATTGTGTAACCTCAAAGTGCTAAGGGATGCATGTATAACCAACATGTCAAATAGATGACAAAACTATGACTCAGTCTCAGTCCTTCTGCCATCTGCCCTGTTTGGCAGAAATATATGTCCACTGCCATTATAGATGGCTATTACTTAATTTCTTTTTCTATACCCTTCTCTGTAATAGTAGGATAAGATGAAGGATAAAGGAAGTTGTGTGTCTTACCTAACATCAATATCTGAAACCAGAACGTGAGTTTCTGCTTAAGGTAAATGCTTCATCCCTTGCTTTTCTTCTCATTACTTTTCTTTTCCTTTTTTTTTCCACTTCAACAAGGAACTACAGTACTCTCATAGTTTCTTTCTCCATTATAGGTGTCTTCTTGATGGAAAATCATGTACTATCAATGTGTTGATGAGCAGAAGATAAGATTAAAACCACGTACCTAGGCATTTCTATACTGCTCAAAGGGATAATGGAATGCTCCATTTTGAGGGTATGGTGGTGGCAGTAGGTATTGATCAGAGAAGGCAATAAGAAAATGATCTACAGGACTCTGGAAATCACCATCCCTTTATTATCATTAACGAGCATAGATTACTGACCGACCCTATTTTCGTTTATAAAGTTCTCCCAAATGCAAACAGGCTGTGTATATACTGTGCCCCTCCAGATTGTAAACCTCATGAATGCAGGTGTCATGCCTGCCTTTTATATCCCTAAACAAGAACAGTTCATGGTTTAAGTGATCATTAAATATTGTTTGAATAACAGACTGAAAGAATGAATATTATACATAGACCCAGCCTTTTACGTTTTTTCCAGAGAATTCCGTACATACTTTTATCCAGTCATTGCATTTTGCTTCGTCTCCAGAATCTCCATGTGTGGTATGGTCTTCTTCCTTAGGTCTGGAAGTGGTTCTTTACGGTCTGGTGGCCTATGAACTAAGAGAGAATTAATTATCTGCTTTCCACTCTTGCATAATCAATAGTGGAGAAAGGGACATGATAACCACAATAAGTATTACTATTTAGTAAAGAATGGAAAACACATAATAGTCAGTTGGGCCATAGCAATGCTGGTATCCTGGTAGACAGGCATTATGAAGGATCCTTACACCTAGATTCAGCCTTAATTCTGCTCTCTGGGAGGATATCCCTTGAACATTGTCCTCAGAGGTCTTTGTCTTCATTATTTAGATATTTATTCCATTTCTTTTGTCCTATTTGTGAAAAGGCATATTTAGCTTTTATAGCTTGCTCCTTGAATAAACAAGCCTTGTTAGTTTCTTATACTGTCTTACCATTTTTTGTTTTTTTTGGTTTGACTTTTTATATGAATTTTACTGTGGAATATATAAGAAGGGCATATATTTTAATTGTACAGTTCAGTGAGCTTTGACAAGTATATACACCACCTCAATCAGGACGTAAAATTATGTCTATTATCCAAAATAGTTCCCTTGTTTCTCTTTGCATTCTTCCCTCAATTACCACTCCATCACAGTCCCCAAGCATTGCTGATACGCTGTCCTAAAATTAACTTTGTTCTAGAATTTCATCAAATATTCAGCTAGTGTTCAAATTTCCAATTGTACTATAAATGTCATAATATTGTTCAAATTGTTTGGCTTAAGATTCAAATAAGAATCCCGTATGGAAAACGACTGATACAAAATTTCTTTCTCTTCCTACCATATTTTGCTGCATATAATGCTCACTTTTTTGCCTAAATTTTTGAGGGAAACAGAAGGGTGTGCATTATACATGAGTACTACTAATTCTGTATCTATATAAATTTTTAAATTTACACTTATGTATTAAAAGTGTAACTTTTAAAATTCTTCTGTAATACAAAAAATTATAAAATTCCTTTATAATACAAAAAACAAGTATCTAAGTATAAATAAATAAGAAACTGAATTCAAAAATTAAAATGAAAGGTTTTTTCCCGTAAAGTTTGGGCCAAAACTGTGGGTGTGTACTATACATGGGAGCGCATTATACACAACAAAATACAATAATTTGTTGCTTAATCTGGGTCATTTTTATTGAAAACTTTCTGACAGTCTAGATCTTGCTGATTGCATTGCGTGTTAATATGTCCCTCTGTCCCTATTTACAGATGGTTTTTTTTTTTTTTTTTAGAGACTTGTTCTTACTCAGATTTGATGTTTTAGCCTCATGCGTTTTTTAGTTGAATTACAGCATTCAGGAACAACATTCTTTCGGTGGTAACAGACAACTGCATGAGCAAAATAGTGAGTTTAATGGCTCACGTAACTGACCTTCTTAGGGCATATCATGGACTCAGGCTCTATATCATAAAACCCTGCATTTTTTCCCCCTGCCTTTTTGCTTAATTCAGTTCTGGTCTTGTCTGAGTTTTGGCTTCATTCTCCACATCCTCTTAGGTTCAAGTCCATAGGAAATAAGTTGCTTCCTGATGGTTCAGCTTCATGTCACTGGCACTGACTGATCCACTTGGTTTAGGTCCTATATCCTTGTGAACTAATTAATGGCCAAATGAGAGCACCAACGTGGAGGCTAACTAGAACAACATGGACTGTTACTGAATTTAAAGAGTTTTTTTTCGTCCTCTACAATTACACTTTGGTTTACAGATGTGAACTTAAATATTAACAAACGCGACTTTCTACTATACGCAACAACTTTTATTTATGAAAAATTATTTTCACTGAAGTGAAGGTGGAATTATTACAAGTGTTTTGGGTAATAATGTTTGGAGGAAGGCCCCTTAGAAATGTTCCCCAAATTTCTTACTAGGTCAGCGACCACCTACTGTCTCTTGTCTGAGAGTGAGAAATGGTAAAGTTTAATAAAGGAAAGAGGTCAAGGACGACAATAAAGGGGTGTGAGGGTGGAGGAATGATCGTGGCCCATAAAGGAAATGTTCATTCTTAACGAATGGGTAACAAGGTGAGGTTACCGAATGGGAAAACTCATAACTTTAACTTGGTTTACTGTACCAGGTTATTGTTAAAGCGAACTGTATACTACTAGTGGTTTCATAAAACATTTCTTAGAGGTAACTTACCAACATTAGGGCGGGGTGAAGTTTTGTTAGAAAGGCCGGGATACCCTGGACCACCAACGGCGGTCAAATGGCAAAAAAACACCCCGATTTCTCCACTCTGGCAGGTACACAGCATCCTTCTGTTTAGGAGCCGGCTAGCTAGTTGCAACAGGAGCCACGCCCATCCCGGCGACCAGCTCGGCGTTGCGTCACTTCCGGCCCTTGGCGGGGCGCATCCGGGTCAGAGTGAGCCTCTAGCTCTCGGAGTCTGGTGGAGGTGTCGCGCTGTCCGCTTTCTCCCTTCCCGGTGTGACCAAGCCGCAGTGTCCACCGGCGAGCACTGACCCGCCCTGCCCCGAGCAGAGAAGGACGAGGAGGAGGAGCGGCCGGACGCCGGGCTGGGCCGCTGTGGTACGGGCTGGAGACTTTGCTCCTACGCTTGCTGCTGTCTCTGGGAACCGGGTGCCAGCACTGAGGAGGCTTCAGTGGACAGCAACCCCCTTCCCCGGCTCCCCTGCCCGCCCTGCCGGGGAGGGCGGAAGATGCCGGTGAAGAAGAAGAGAAAATCCTCTGGGGTGGCAGTGGCGGAAGACGGGGGTCTCAAAAAGTGTAAAATCTCCAGGTACCTCCTTCCCCCACCCGTCTATTTTTCCTCCTTTGCTGGATGGCTAGAGGAGAAGGAGGTGGGCCGGGTCTCCGAGGCCTGAGCTGAGAGGTGACTACCCCGCACCCCCGATAAATGTACGTGGTAGGCGCAGAACACGGCGAGTGTCTGCGCCGGCCTCCACCTCGTGTTCGGTGTGTGTGCTTTCTGGCGCCTGTGGAGCGACTAGCCCAGTCGCCTCGCGTTGGAGTCTTACGTGCCCTGGAGGGTGGGGAAACAGGAATGCGTACGTAAATTGCGCTCTTTCCCCTTACCCTACTCCCTTAACCCCTCCTCCGCCTTCTCTTCAAACAGATCTGCGAAAGGGTCACTGTTAGAATTTACTATTAGAATTTCTTTGTAGAGTGTGAAGAAAGGAGCAGAACAGGAAATCTTGACCTGACAGCTGCCATGGGAATGATAGAAAGGGAAGCTCCGCGTGTTGTAATTGGCCTCCAGATTTAATGGTATAACCCGGAGGATCCCATCAGTTGTTGTTTTAAATCGCAGGAACCCAATTTCTGGAAGTATAGTGCCTCCACCTGCGCCACGTCCCTATGTGCCGAATTGGGAAGGCCCTCCATGCGTTTTGTTTTCTAGTATTCAGGGTGTTATTAGCTCTCAATATAAATATTAATAATTGAGAGCTATTGTACTCTGTCCTCTTGGAGAAAAAGAAAACAAAGCAGAGCTGTAGATAGAGCTCTTTAATCCCATTGTAGCATGTCATTGAGGCATCACAGCAACATTGTATGCTGCAAAAAATTACTGCAATTTAGGTGAGAGAAGCGGATTTTTGAAATCTCCTTATGGAGTGTCCTCGATTATATCTGTGGTTGGCACTTGGTGTGACAACTTCAGATGCTGCCATTAAAAGAAGACTGTAGCCAGTGCTAGAAAGAGGAGATAGCTAGAACTTAGAGTTGTTTAAAAATGTGAGAGATCTGCTTAAATATGTGAGGTAGGTAACTTATTTAGTCTGCATCTTCCTTTTAGTAATAGATTCATTTTTCCCCCTTCATTATGCTGTTTGGGAGAACAGCTTAAATATATTCCTAGAATTTGATATGGTTACTCCAGTAGCTCAAAATATTATGAAACGTGCCGATTAGTTTTGTATTATTTTAGATACCTTAAGCATGTAATGTATCAAAATTATTTAAATACTTTAAAATAGTTGAGCAGTCATAAGAACTCAGGTGATACTTTGCTTTATCAAGTTAAACTTTTTAAATATTGATATACTTATTTTACATTACGTTACTCAACTGCAGAAGTTACAGCATTTCTGTGTCATTGTGGTAGTAATGTAACTGTTTGAGGCCCTGTAGAAAAGATTCTCTGAAGTTCATTTTATCCTAAAGGCGGTTTATGAACTTCCCAACTTTAAATGACTTTATGGAAAAGATAAATAGAATTGAATTAAAGAACTTGATCCAATTATTTGTACTAATGATATGTTTTAAGTTTTTTTTTTTTTGTTTTTTAATTGGTGGAATTTAATTATACCCTTACATCTTGAATCGTCTTTTATCATTAAATATCTATTCAATCTTGGTAGATGATAAACAACTCTAAATATAGAGTTTTACTTTGAAGTATTGATGGATTATCAAAATATACTTTGTAATATTTTGTTTTCAAATGTTTATTATGTGCAAGTATAAATTACATGTAATTCAGAAGAATCATAAAGATTTATACTTTCCCAACTACCAGTTCTGCACTGAGACCATTAGGTTGGACTTCTGTTTGGTCTTTTGAAATCTGGGGAAATAATTTTTGTTGATATTTTTGGAATTTGATAGTGAGCAAAGTAGAATTTGGGTTTTGTTAGCTACAAGTTTTTATGTATAGACTACTGTATCAAATTGCAAATACTTAACTCCACTTTTTTCCCCCCATAACACCAGCTGTTAAAAAAAACAACTTGATTTAGTTTGATATGACATAGTTCATGTTGAACTTAGCTTTTCACTAAAAGTTGAGACAATAAATTCTTAGGCATTTGTGTGTTTTCTAAGCTATTGCAGATCCCAACCCCCTGCTAGACTAATAAGTGGAGAGGAACATTTTTCAAGCAAGAAGTGCCTGGCTTGGTTTTATGAGTATGCAGGTAATGAAAATAATAATAGAAGATAACAGTCACATGCTTTAAAACTTTTTTTTGGTTCATTTATTTAACAATTTATTTATTTCAGGCCTGCTATGTGTTAGTGCTGTGCACTGGGATCAAAGTCAAGACTGAGGATTGTGGGTAGGCTAAGAATTTGGTGCCCTTTCAGGCTTGGGCTTTAAATACACAATTCAGTATATATTTAGCGAGGGGGGGTGAAACTCATTTACTATTAATACAATTTATAAACAGATTCACTTCTTGGTTTACATTCATTGGCTAAAGTACAGTTGGTATTCTGGAAAACAAAGTATTTGATACAACATTTTATACTATACATAGTTCTTATTTTTCTTTTCAATATTCTTTTGAATTTTTTTCAACTAGAAACTGACATTTTCTGAAACTTTTGGGAGGCATAGTAAAAGATTCGAAACTCAGGCATATCATCACAGAACACATCCTTTAGTAATTGCTATTTAGGCGCTAACATCTATGAGAGATGTACTAATAAAAAAAGGAATGATAATACAATGCAATAAGTATTGTATTGGGAAGATGCACTGAAATTTCTTAAGAGGACTATATAACCCAATCTTGAGAGTATCAGGGAAGGCTTGAAGAAGCTCACAGACTAAATCCTGTAAGTGATGGAAGTAAAGCTTTCGGCTTAGGGTGGGGTGAAAATCAGTCACTTTGCTGAAGTGTTAAGCAAATAATATGAAAAAGAACACTTGTTTCCTATTTATTACTAATTTCTTCATAAGCATATATGAATTTTTTTTCCATTACAATGTTTTTGGTCTTCTAAAATTACTGATTTTAAAGCTCTTTTTTCTCACCTTGTTTCCTTTCTCTTTACCTACCTCTTTTTTTCCTCTCTTTTATCATGATCATTCTAAGTGTTTGTTTAAAATAAAAAAGTCTATATGCAGTCCTTGTATTATATGTAGTGTAATCAAGTTAAGGCTTCAAGTGTACTCTGAACTTGAGAGATAAGTTTAGGCTAACTGTAAGACTATGGTGGGAGGTGGGGCAATAATTTCACTGTTAGGATCCCAAAAGTATAATTTAAAAATTGTTTAGTAACAGAGCAGATTCTTTCTAGACCAGAACAACTGCTATTATTGGCATCCCAAGACAACCTCTAACCCAAATTAAATGAAGGGAATTCATTTTATTACTGAACTCCATTTAAAATGTAGGCCCATTATTCAAAATGCCAGTTTTATTGTTATGCATGATATAGAATCAAAAGGTCACTCATGTTATTTTACTTACAAAGGTAACTAGAGTTCATAAAATTAGTCTTCTTTTTTTCATTTATGCTTACTTGTTTTACCTCTCCTAGGGACTTTCCTGGTTAACATAAGATTATAATTAAACATTTGTTTCCTGTACTAGCATTTTTGTAATAGCCAGCATAGTAATTGCTATCTTTATTTTAAAATTATGCTAATTATATAACTTTTTCCTAATGACCATTCTGTTAAGTAGGCAGTGTTACCCCTGTGCTCTAGATAAGAAAACTGATACTTAGATTAAGTAATTTGCTTAAGAAAACACATGCAAAGCACTTAGTACAGTACCTGATCTATAATCAGAACTCAGTAACTGTTAGCTATTGTTAAAAGAGTAATAGTATCACAGTATCATATTTACTGGTTGTGTATGTTTGCAATACCGTTTCAAAATTACCAGTATAGCTCCTTTGTAGCTCATGTTGAAGATGCTGTGTCATTCATGTAGCTTAGTTTATTTCCTTATCTGCTATGGCTGTCATAGTTTTAGGCTCTGTGGTCATAGCTGGGAACATTTCTTTATGGTTATTAAAAATCAGTTTTCTGATTTTCTTTTTTTGTTTTAATATATTTTACCACTAACCTTGTTAATATAAGTAGGACATATATGATAAGCCTGATGGTTTTGTCCTTTCACAAGACTTCTCATCTTGACTGTTAGGTAAGTTAGCAAGGATTCAGTAATATACTGGGCCTATTACTGAACAAAAGTATGGACAGTGAAAAGGAACTTTTAAAAGTCTTAGAAAGAATCAAAAATAGGGATAGAATTGCAGTCCTAATAAAGTATCCAGCTGGTAAACTAATTTTCATAATTTTCATTTTCATAGCTTCTTAAATTGATTGGAAACCTGTTTTGTTTTGTTTTTTTTTGTTTTGTCTGAAAGTTAGTTCAGTTCAGCTCCCTGGGAGAAGTTTTATTGGAAGAGTATGTTTTAAGAAGAACCAATGACATTATGCGATCTGGGAAAAGATCATTAGACCTTGTTTTAGACTTAGACCTGTTAGTGTTTGCATTACTGCGGGAAAGTCACTTAAGGTTTACAGAAAGGTCTTACAAGTATCTTATACGTTTTAGTGTAACATAATTTAACTTGATTCTAATCTAATTTGAGTCACTAATCTCAAAGTATCTAGGGAGGCTCTATTGTATAACAGTAACTGATATTTCTGGACATAACTTTTCAGCTTTCTTTTCTAATTATTATTGATGGCAGCTTCAACAGCAAGTCAGCTTTCTTGTTGCATATAAAAATGTAGAATATATTCCTATCATGCTTAAAAAAAAACCTTTGTTTTCTTCTGTTAAATTTTTTATCTGATGCTAATTTCATCCAAACTACACATGACATAAGGATGTACATTGAGATATATTTTTACCAGCTTTATGGTATTTGTGTGCTTTTTAAAGTACTTAACACATTCTCATTAAAAAAAAAAAATTCTCCAGGTATATATTAGGAAGTGAAAGCTTTCTATAATTGTCACACCGTTCCCCATTTAACACCTCACTGCGTAAATAAGTGCAGTACTTATTTAAACCAACAAATTTAAAAAGGGTTTCGGTTCAGAACACACTATCTTAGCAGCCTGGGTCTGATTTGAAACTGCAGGAGTATATTGGCCACATACTTGCAGGCTACAGTCTTCTATTAAGAAAAATCTGAGGACATTAGCTTCACATTGCACTTGTGAACTAACGATGGTGATGTAAAATGCCACCTAAGCAGCTTTAGTTTAGTCTATAATTTATGAAACTGGAGTAGTTTTAGTCCTTTAAGAAAGGAAAACAAGTTTCCATTGGCTAATTTAACAGTGATATTTTAAAACTATATTTTCAAAGCCAGATGTGGTAAACATATTTCTATCACATTTCATATTGATTTAGTCTTTTTAAATTAAATTAGAAATATAACAGTTTTTGTTATGCAACATAATGATTTGATATATGTATATATTACAAACTGATCACCAAAACAATTCTAGTTAACATCATATCACGTAGTTACAAAAACATTTTTTATGATGATATCTTATAAGATGTACATTTTAGTGACTTTCAAGTATACAATACAGTATTATTAACTATAGTCACTATATTATACATGGCATCCCAGGACTTATCTTATAACTGGAAGCTTATATCTTTGACTACCTTCACCTACTTTTGCCTACCCTGCACTCCCACCTCTGGCAACCACCAATCTGTTCTCTGTATTTATGAGTTCGGTTTTTGGGGTTGTGGTGTTTTTTTGTTGTTGTTGTTGTTTTTAATGTACAGTTCACATATAAGTTCATTACTCATATGGTATTTGTCTTTTTTCCCCTGACTTACTTCACTTAGCATAATGCTCTCATGGTCCATCCATGTTGTCACAGATTTGTTTTAATTTTACCCAGTCACAAAAAATACTTAATATAATTACTATATTTTGGGAATCTGATAAAAAAATAAGAATTGGTGTACTGACTTATATTTAGCACTACTAAAAGAGAAAAATAAGAGTCAAGTATTGTTAATTATTGGATAAATGATAGACAAGCTAACGGAAGGATTAAGCATTTGTTTCTACATTAAAGTGACGTAACTGATGCTTTACTGTGTATTTGAGATGCAAGATGATAAGAAAAATATTCTAGAATGGGAATGTAATAATTTCCTTAAGTTATTATTTTTATAATATGTCTATCTTTTTATCAAAATTTTTATTTGTGTATATTCAAAGGGTAATATATGGCCTTCTATTTTAGTAATTAAACAGATATTTTCTGATGGTTGTCTTAAATTGTGTATTGGTGCTGGCACATTTTAATAGAGTAAGAAGCTCAAACCTTCTTATGTTTCTTTATGCATTGCCAAAAATTTTTGTTAGAGAAGGCTGTCAGTAAATACTTTATAATTGATATTAATGCTGTTTCATTTTTTATTTTCTTAATTTTATTTTGTAATGTATTCAAAGAACATTTCAAAACATTGAAAGCTCTGTAGCATATATACTTATAAATATGTCAAATTCAAATTCAGTTATTTGCGGAAATGTTATATTCATAGATGCCTTTAGCACAATGGCTTATATTTTTTGTTGATATTAAATTACAACAATAAAATATATAAATTATTTTTGTCTTTGAAGGTCCTGATGAAGTTGTAGGGCCAGAAGGAATGGAAAAATTTTGTGAAGACATTGGTGTTGAACCTGAAAATGTATGTTTTATTTCTAAGTAGAATGGGATACAAGTGGGGTATAGCATATTCATAAATTTCTAAAAATTAGGACACTTTAATTTTATATGAAGATTTATTATTGTATATTTTTATTTAGAATAGTTTTAATCAATTTAAATTGGGCATATGTTCTCTTTCTTGATACAGATGTCATTTGTAATAGAATGAGGTGATTCTGTCTTCCAGACTGTTAGAACTTTAAAGGAATTGGTCCATCTATATTTCTTTATAGTTAATAATTCCAAAGGTTTTACTCTTTAATATTTGAAAGAAGTACATAGCTGTATAAAAATGCTCTCCATGATAACTGTAGTCATGATTATCTCTGTGCTGACTTTTCCCCTATCCTTTATGTTCTGTTCTTTCCAGATTATTATGTTAGTTTTAGCGTGGAAATTGGAGGCTGAAAGCATGGGATTTTTTACCAAGGAAGAATGGTTAAAGGGAATGACTTCATTACAGTAAGATATTTTTTTAAAAAACAAATTTGATGGGCTCTTTGAAGATCTTAATATTTTGTGCTTTGTAATTTTCAGGAGTAAAGTTTCATTTTATGTAATCAAATTGGTTTAATCTGTAACAGTCAATTTAGGATTGACAAAATTTATGTTTTGGTTTGGCAAAATGAACAGGTCCTATTAAAATTTATTAACTCTTGGTGGGTAAACTAGGTATCCATGATGAACGTTTTTTACTCACAGGTTGTTGGAGCAATAAAGGATTTTCTTCTCTGAATGTATAATTCTACTATGTAAGGAGTTTTTCCTGGCGGGGGCAGTGCTAAGCTCTGGGGCCTCCTTGTCTCCTCTTTAATTTTATACTTGATCTAAAAATGAAATTTGGAGATAGAGTTGTATGGCACTTTAATTCTTTTTGGCCAACTGAATCTCCTAAAGAACAAAAGTACTGCTGTTTGACTCCTCGGCAACTTTTAGCCATTTTACAGTAGCAGTAGGATGCTTACATACTTTCATAAACCATGTAGTTGCTTCTTTATAAAAATAATTTGATTTTGGCTTTCCAGTATAAAGTAGGCTTAGTTTCAGAATCAGTTAGTAATATTTGTGGTAATTTTTTATCATGCTTCTGGTATTCATGCAGGATGTTACCAATTATCAACATTCCAAAATTGAGGAATCATTAATTTATATTTTTGAGCCCAAAACTGGGCATTTATTAACCATATGGTTTCCCGTTCTGATTATGCTTTTATTAACACATTTAACTATTCTTTACTCCTTGTTTGCCTGTCTTTAAATTTCAAAGTACCTCATTATTTTTTAAGTGTATTTGTTCATATAAAACTTAAATTTTCCTATTTGAATTTTTAGTGTCTAATGCTTTGTAATTCTGTTTAACCAGCATTAATACACAGATTATAGTTAGGCAAAAAACTTGCACACGTAACGAAATAATTTTTAGAATAGAACCTAAAATCAGCCCTCTCACTTCCATTATATATAGGTGAGATAAAGAGTCTGAGATTCAGAGAGGTAAAGAAAATATTTGCTGAAGTTTACATAGCACCTTCATGGCAGAGTCGGGACCTAGAACTTAAATGTCATGATTACCAGTCTACCATACTGTACTTTCATTTGTACATTCTTTTGTATAGGTGTTAACATTCTTTATAAAACAGAAAGCCATTATTAACTTTCTAAATCATAGTATTTACAACTAATACTGAATTCTTTTGTTTATCAAGGTGTCATAAAATGCTGTATTAAAATGTTGATTCTGAAATTCTTTGGCCTATTTCCCACCTTTAATTACCTTTATAGATAAAGGTAAAATACATATACAAAAAAGTGGTCAAAGATTATAAACTAATTTTCCCATAGCTCAGTCTGTTTTATTGAAATGTGTTTCAGTTCTAATATGGCTTATTTAGCATTGTAACTGCTTTTTGTACTACTATTTACTGCTTTTTTGGTAGACTTTTTTTTTTAATATTCTGGCTAACGTCTTAGTGTTTAAAACAAAAAGTTTTTAATTTATGTTTTTACATAACTTGGTGTAATATATATGACCTTTGTATAACAGAAATGTGTAAAACAAAGTATTTCTAAAATTTATCCTGAGTAACAGCATATGGCGTTGGGTCCAAGGATAAAAATTGACTAACCTGTGAACATATTTTTATTAGAACATCTTTCCTATAGACAGTTCACAAGCTATACAGAATAAAAGTAATTATGTAGCACTTAGAATTGAGTTAGAGGTTTCTGTTTCATTCATTTATTATTTCCTCTCTATCCGCCTAAAACCCTTTGTTGAATAACCTTAAAGCTAATCAAATTAGGCAGGCACACTTGACTGCAAAACTACTTGTTTTTTCCCCATGATATAGATTGCTATGTGAAGGATAGTTGACCCCTGAACAGCGCAGGGGTTAGGCAGTCGAAAATGTGTGAGTAGCTTTTGACTCCCCAAAAACTTTATTAATAGCTTACTTTTGACTGGAAGCCGTATTGATAAATAGTCAATCAATTCATATTTTGTCAGTTTTATTTACTGTCTATTGTATTCTTACAATAAGCTAAGCTACAAACAAAATGTTATAAAAAATTTAAGGGAGAATACATTTACTGAACATTTCTCTATTTCTCCATACCATATGCTATGCCATTGTTTTACACGGTGACCTGTCTGTCACTACCTACATCAATATTGTTTTATATGATACAAAACACTATGGATGTTATGTGTCTTACACTAGACATCAAAAATGAAAAGATAATAGGAAAAAAATTCATATTTATTTACAGGTATAATAATTTATGCACTGATAATGCAGAAGCCAGCCCTATGATTGCTTTATAGTAGCTTAGTATAATCTATGTAATTGCTTCACGTAGTGAGTAAATCTCCAAAAAGTTTCCAACATGTTTATTGAAAAAAAATTTGCATCTAAGTGGACCTGCACAGTTCAAGTATTGTTGATTGCATTTTGTTCATGAGTCTGTTGGCTAAGTCTTCTCACACTCTAAATCTTTTAAAAAACAAAGAAAAAACACGCTAGGAATAAAATAGTTTAAAATTTAAACTAAGACAAAGAAATCTAAGTTTAAATTTTTAAATTTATAGCTGTCTACTATGTTTAGTTTTATATAATAACTATAAAATGTAAAACTTTACAGACTTGATTCCATTTATAGATTTTTGATATTTTTGGAATTTAAAATAACCTGGGCATAGTTATTTTATGGTCCCTAAATTATCTGAATATAGTTATCAGTTGTTTCAAGTTAATTAATTTTAACCCTTAGAAAACTTTACTAGAGGTCTGCTAAAGAATAGAAACAGCCTGGGAGTTAAGGCATAATACCGTGGTCAAGGATAGTGGACTATAGTAATCATGATTAACTAAAATCTAATTGTGTAATGCTTAACAGTATTTAGAATAACTTTTTTTTACATTCATTTATTTTAAACCTGCTTATTTATGCAGACTTTTCAAAACTAAGTTGCCTTTCTCTTTTATGTGAAAGAATTTACGTTTAATTGGTATATAATTTGACTAGAAGGGCCTAGGGGATGTAATTGTTATATTCTTTCTAAGTAGTTCTCATCATTGTTTAATAATATTCAAAATTCTCTTCAAATTCGGTTTAATTTAGTAGAGTTTCATATTAAACACCTATATTATATAAGGTACTGTACCACTTAATAGTGATTTCATTGAGGCATAAGTATGGCTCATGTCCTCTAGTTACATTCTAATAGGGCAAGGAAGGCATTACAATACCAAAACCATAAATCCAGGTAGAATGTGACAAGTGCTAGGTTAAAAATACAAAATACTGTGGAAACACAGCTGCTCATAAAGTTAATTTTTGCTGAATAGACAGGAAACTCTTCTTAAGTGTGGCATTTGAACTGGACCTTGAAGATGAATAGGATTTTGATGGTTGAGGATATAGGAAAATATTGTTTCTGAAGAGGAAGTTGTAGTCAGAGCTTTGAGAAAGGAGAGCATATGTTGGAAGGAAGTAGTCTGGTTGTTAAAATCAAATGTTAAATGAAGAAAATTGATAGAATAGTTTTAAATTCCAGATGGTTGAGATAATGGCTACATTATGGAGGGTTTTGGCTAACATGTTGAGAGTCTAACAGATACTGGGAAGCCCAGAAATTTTTGAGCACAGAAATCATCAAGATTTGGGGGATTGTTTTCAATAGAGCAGTTGTTTGAATGTTCTGAGGTTCTTTTAAGAACTTTATGAAAACTGGACCTTATTTCCATTAATTGCACATACGCTGCTACACATAAAATATTGCATGTGGATCTTCCTCTCCTTGCATTTATGGATTCAGTGTTCCATAGATACTTGCAAATTTAGAGTGGAGAACTTTTTTCATATATGCTAGCTTTGGTTTTGGAACAAGGGTGGAATACAGTGATGGCAGAGAGAACTGTGAGCAGAAAATGTTGAAAAGATTATACTTGATATTATAATAGTGAAAAAAAAAGGCAAAGGGAAGAAGATAGCATCTGATAAGAATGGTGGTAACTAAGCTGCCTGTCAGTAGGTTTCAAACTGTATACCATATGGTCACCATATTGAGCCCTGGAAATTGAAGATTAAAGGTCATGATCTAGCATGACTTTCTTGAGGGGAGTGAGGAATGGGGACATTAATACTACCTTTTTTGGTGGGTGTGGAAGAATGGGGTATGCGGGATGCTGTGGTATGTAACTATCATTCGTTGAGGGTTTGGGGGCTACCTACTGATTGCCATTAGTATCCTTTCTTTCTCTCTCCCCCAGGACCATCATAATAATTTTAAATTGCACCCCCTCCACATTTCCAAAAATCCTCCAGAGGTGGGTTGTATTTTTCTGGTCGATAGACCTGATTCACAGGAAGTTCTAAATCCAGGACTTTGAGAATAAAATTTTTCCTGCTACACATCACTCTGTCAGAGCATACTTACTGGGACTTACTGATTACCAAAGGGAACCTCACTTAGATCTAATATATAAGTGAGAATTTCTTTTGAAGGTCTCTAATGAAGCAGAAATTTGAAAGCCTCTCTTGTTAATAATAAAGGTTTATTCTGCTCTCCAAAAGTAGAGAGCATTCTTGTGAAACCTTATGGAAGCTGAAATGGCATAAAGCAAAGAGGCAGTTCCCATTAATTTATATGGGAAAATTTTTTAGCATTCCCAGTCCCCCTAAATAATGTACCAAATCATACCAAATACACTTATTTATGTTGAGTTTTATGCTAAGCACTAACGCCCTTATGAGCTCTCTTCGACTTTTCTGATACCTTAGGACAAATTTTGCTAATGGGTGGGTGCACAAAATAAGTCAAGATAAAGCACAGATGGTTACAAACACAGTCTTAACTAAGGCAATCTAATGCTGAGATGGTAAGTGTAGTTCCTGGGGAAGAAGCTTGGTGGCGCTGCTTGGGATGCATGCTACCTCTATGAAGGATGGCTCCAAAACAT